ATATATATTTTTTAGTTGTCCAGTTAATTTCTTTCTATTTTTTTTCGTAGAGACGGGGGTCTAGGTCTTGCTCAGGCTGGTCTCGAACTCCTGAACTCAAATGATCCACCTGCCTCGGCCTCCCAGTGTGCTAGGATTACAGGCGTGAGCCACGGCGCCCAGCCTCCACCAGTCTTTGACCAACAGTGTAAGTCCTTCCTCAGGTCTGACTTGATTCCATCACATTTCACTTTAAACCAGTTTCTCCCCCTCCAGGGTGAGTCAAAGACCAGGACAGGACACAGGGGTTTCCTGTGGCCACAGGACAATTAAAGACCAGACAGAGACATGGGAGGCTCAGCTTAATAACTGGTGACAATTACAGGGACTATTAATATAATAAAGTGTGAGTCCCTCTGTGCTGGGGAGGGAGTGCTCCTGCTGGCCTCCTCCCCACCCCTGGGGTGATAGGTCATTCCTCAGTGCATTTATTGAGCATTTGCTGTGTACCAGACCCTACGCAGACTTGGTCCTGTTGGCTCTTTTATTGAGGTGAAATCCACAGAATATGACCCACCCTTTTCGAGTGAATGATTCAGTGTCATTTGGCACATCCACAATGTTGTGCCGCCATCCCTCTAACTCCAGAACATTCCATCACCCTAACGGAGACCCCCATCTCCCTCAGCAGTCACTCCCCAGCCCCTGCCACCCATGAATCCACGTCCCGTCTCCGTGGATCTGCCTGCTTTGAACATTTCATATAATTGGAGTCACACAGTGTGGCCTTTTGTGACTGGCTTCTCTCACTTTACATTTTTTTTAATAAAAATTATTTTTTAAAAACAGTTTTAGGTTTACAGAAAAATCGTGAAGTTCACAGAGTTTCCACACTCTGCACACCCAGTTTCTCCCCCTATGAGCAGCGTGTCCTCTTATCATATCTTTTCCAAGGACCCCCCCCCCCCCAGATCGCAGGTGTGACAAAGACAGGGTTTCCACACGGCAGGGCCCGGTTTGCTCACGCCCCTTACCGGACTGGACGCCTGGCAAGCCGGAGCTGGCAGCTCCCTTCACGGAGGTGGAGCCTGGGCCTCGAGGCCGGGGGCGGCCACGGTGACGGGGCCTGAGAAAGGCTTCCGGCTTCTCCAGCTCCGGAATTTTCCTGCCACTCCACAAGGAGAGAGGCGTGGAAGAGGGCGGGAGCAGCAGAGAGGAAACCACAAAAACAAAATCTAGAGCAGCAGCTCAGAGGACAAGCTGTTCCTGGCAGGCGGCAGGGGGCAGGGAGCGGTCATCATGAGGCCTGGCAGGGCCGGGCGGGGCCAGTGCCACTGGGGAGGGAGGGTGGTGACTTGGCACGTGGAGCTCCCCACGCCCCCTACACGCACACACGCGCGCGCGCACACACCCACGCACACACGTGAGCGCACACACACGCACACACACCAGGCTGGGCAAGTGGGCCAGGGAGCCCCAAGGGTGGCTGGGAGGGGCTGGGCAGAGCCCAGCTGCTCCTCACGCATTCATTCATTCCTTCTCTCATTCATTCAGTACCTGCTGAGCCAACGCCGTGGGCAAGATCACATCCCACGCCAAGGGAATGCTGGGCTCAGGCAGCCTTCGGGTTTGGTAGCTGAGTCACCCCAGAACCAGAAATGTTCCCAGTCGGGCAGGCAGGCTGGAGTAGGGTGGCAGCTAGGGCAGTGACCCCTGAACTGAGGACTGAAGGATGCGGAGGAGAGACCAGGTGCAGGGGTGGGAGGTGGGGGGAGCTCTGAACAAGTGCCAAGGCCGAGTGTGCAGAGGAGCTGGGCCGGAGAAATTGAGAGGACAGCGGGGCTCGGAGGGGAGGCGCTCTGTCTTGGCACTGTGGGCAACGTGGAGCCATGGGAGGTGTTAGAGTAGGGGAGGGAATGGGATTGCTTCTAGGTCATTAGGAGAAAGGAGGTAGACGAGGGTGGAGGCTGGGGTTCCAGCCTGGCAGGGACAAGAGGGGGTGATTTTGAGAGGGAGACTTGGATGCAAATGGGCCGTGTGCGAAGGGGAGAGGGCAGGAGACAACAGAGCAGACCATAGCCGGGAAGGGGAGAGACCCCGGCCGGGGTGAGGGTGGAGAGCCCACATGAGGCCTGGCTGGTGAAGGGGCTGGAGGGAAGATCACTTTGTTCTCCAGATGGGGAAACTGAGGCCCAGGAGTGGCTAGCCCTTGCCCTGCTGCCCCCTTCCGCTCCTGCCTCCAGGATCTGAAGTGAGCCCTCGGCCGTCCGGCACATTTCAGGCCACTGGCCCCAGCAGAGTCCAGCATACAGCAAGGGCTTCACTATGGCTGAGGGGATGGACCCCAGACAGTGCAGGGGCTGGCCATGCAGGAAAGGTTTGAATCTCCAGGACTTGTGAGGTTGCATTGCTTAAAGGCAGCTGCGACGATGTCTCCCGCTCCCGCTCCCGCTCCCTTCCCCAGAGAGATTAGAGCTGCAAATCAGCGGCCATGTCGTGAGGAAGCCCAAGCCACGTGGGGAGGCTCCTTGCAGCCAGGGGGGCGCCGTGCACTGCTGAGCCCTGCCTGGGAGTCACCCCAGCTCGCCTGAGCAAAGACCCCCAAGGAGGATGAGCCCAGCTGAGGACCCAGACACCCCGGAGGAGAGAAAAGCCAATGCCATCATGCCCCACTCCGCATTCCTGACCTGAAGCATCGGTGGTGACGATGTGGTTTTTGTACTGGCAGGTTCGGGCTGGCTTCATACGAAGCAACAGGAAACCAGCACTCAGGCACACTCAACCGGTTTTTACGACTTTTATTAAATCCTTACAAAACAGAATACAAAATTCCGGCTTTCGACAGTTGGTGGAAAGGAAAACGTTTGAGCTCGATCAGTTCACCTGGTACAATGGAATTAAAGTGCTTGGATGTTTTTCCCCCACTTTAAAAAAATTTTGAGGTTTTTTTTTTGTTTGTTTTGAACATCTTGACATTGATGTATGGCGGTTCCCCAGCGCCCAGGCCGCTCCAGATCTTCCGCTCATTCACAGTTAACGGTTACCAGTCCTCCGGGCCGCCACGCGACAGGGTGGGGGGAGAGAGGAAGTGACTGTCCCACCTTCAGAAAAACAGAAGCTGCAGCCGCCAAGATTTCCAGGTACAACGGCCATTGGCGCCTGCAGCGTTTGTTCTTTTATACAAAAAGGCAGAAAATCCCCAGTTGCAAAACATGGAATCACTGCTGGGCGAGAGATGATGCGGGGGCAGGAGGCCTCCCCCCACCCCACGCCGGGTCTTTGGAAAGGCCAGTCCACAGATACAGGAGGGCAGGGGACCGGAGAGGGCGTGACACTCCCACCAGCCACCAGACTGTGACAATCGTAGGAGATTTGGGAGGGGGGTGGGGGGCTGGGCAGACGGTATCTGAGCCCCCCACCCAGAGGCCCCTCCGACATTCAAGTATTCTTCAATAACAGGGAAGCGAAGTCAACTGATGTTTTCTTTAAAAAACTAACTAAACACGACGAAAATCCCCGACCGCGGTTTAGAGGCCAGAGGGGCTGCCCTGGCAGACACCTGAGCGCACCCCGGGCTGGGCTGGCCGGGAAGCGACACCCCAGCTGCTACCCCCCGACCAGCAGAGCCACATGTGCACATAGAAAAATGGAAACTCGTATTGCATAGTACTTCACCGCCGAGCAGGGGGTGGGGGACCGAGCAGACCCTTCCCCGCCATTCCTGGGTGCCCAAAGAGAGGCCGAGGCTGTGGCAGCGGCGGCCCTTTTCCTGAAGGTGGGCAGACCAAAAACGCTGCCCTCGAGGGTGGGGGAGTCAGCGGGACCCCCGGGTCTGGCCCCAGCCGTGGGGATGGGGAGGGGCCGACAGCTTCTGTGCCAGACCTGAGTGGGGGCGCGGGGCAAGACGTGGCCATGGTCAGACTGAGCCCTGAGAAGGGGCACTCGGGTGCCCCGAGGGGGTGCTGGGGACCCCCAGGTTGGCTGACGGGCGCCTGTCCAGCCCCTCCCACCTGCCGTGGCCTGGCAGATGCCTGGCTCCTGCTGCTTCAGTCCTTGGTGGGGCAGGGAGGAGGCTATGGGTGTCCCCGACGTGAGCTGCAGTTTAAGGTCAAGGTCAGAGGTCGAGTCCCACCATCAGGGGCCCGGACAGCTGGAGTTGGAAGCCCCGATTGTCAACTCTCATGGGGACAGGGTGCTTGGGCAAGGGTCTGGGGACTCAGAGGGTGGGTCACCCTCTCCCCTGCCCACCTGCACCCAGGCCCACCCTCTGGAGACAGGGCACCCCCTGCCCTGCCAAGCCACCAGGGTGTCTGGGGTGAGGGATTCAGGAGCTGCGGTTCCTGCGACACGAGCGGGAAGGGGGAGCCATCCCTGAAAATTCTGAGGGCTGGGGAGGCAGACATGGGGAGGGGACGTCCTGTGCCCCTCAGCCCTGGGAGATGGCAAACTGGCTGGAAGCAGGCTCCCGAGTCACTGTGCAGGCGACGGGGGCGAGGAGGTGGCGGCGGGGCACAGTGATCTTGGCAGTCTGGGCAAGCTTGGGGACAGGAAAAACCCAGCCACAGGCACCCTCCGCTCTCCACCCCATCAAAAGGAAAAAAATGAAAGAAATGGGGAGGGGGGAACAGGAAAAAAAGGGAAAAAAACCCCAAAGCAAAAACCTTCTATAAAAAAACCAGCCCCTCCGCTGAGCTTAACGCTGGGGAACGTAGCCAGAGGAGGGGGCGGCCCGCGGGTCGCGGGCTCGAGATAGCTTAAAAAAAGTTTAGATCTGGGGGGCACCTATGTACAGAGGGAAAGCGGGAGGGCGTCAGGCGCGGTCTCCCACGAGGACCACGGGGGCCGCGGACAGGCTGGCTCTCTGCCGCCGCTGGGCCAGCTTGGACTCGGAGGGCGGGGACAGCTGCAGGCAGCGTGAGGTAGCTCGGACGAGGACGGGCTGGCCCTGCCCCGCGGCCTCCTCCTCCGCCAAATCCTCTTCGCGCTGGGCCAGCTGCCGGTTCATGGCGATGGCCTCGGCCGCAAAGGACGTGAGGTCTTTGGCACAGCTGTTCCTGGGGGGACAGTCACTGAGGTCGCACCCCTTCCCACTTCGCTGCTTTGCTGGGGGACCCCTGGGGTCTGCGCAGTGCCCTCTTCTGGGCACCGGGACCCCGCTGGCGGCTGTAGCAAGTCGCCTGGTACAAGGACACCCAAGGCTTGGGTTGGGTAGCTTTTCCCCACCTAAAGAGGTTTTTTGCGTCTTTTTGAAACATCTGAACATTTAACACGCCCCTGCCACCCACTTCAGTGGCCCGAGACCCCCCTCAGGCCTCACCTCTGCAGGACCATGGGCGTGGGCAGAGTGTTCTCTGGGGCACACTGCAATGAGACAGGAGGGGGTGGTTAGAGCAGGCCCGGCCCACCCTGCGGGTGCCCTGCTGGCTCTGGTGGCACCAGGGGAGACCCCAAACACACCCCCATCGCCAGGACCCGCCTGGAGACGGGTGCAACAAGTGCCCATGAGCTGAGGCTGCACATGCACCTGCCCAGGGATCCTGAGCCAGGCACGGGACAGGATGCTGTGTGGCCCCAGGCTCCAAAGCCACACCCCTCCTGGGGTTTTTCAGCCCGAGCCCACCCCAGCGCACAGGTCTCCAGACGCTCCGGACGGATTTGGAGCCCTCCCTTGCAGTGGAAAACAGAGTGACCCAGGCTCCTATTTTTAGTAAAGCCCGCTGCCCTGGTGGCCTCACTCTGCTGGGGGGGCAGCTTGGCTCAGATGACCCCTGGCCAGGAGCAACTGGGGGGGGTGGGCAGAGCCCTGGGCTGACACTGGCAGTCTCAGGCATGAGGCCTCTGCCCCGTCACTCTGGGGCCCAGGGCCAGGTGTGCCAGGAGGATCCTCTGAGCCACTGTTCCTGTCAGTCCCTACGTGGCCACAGCCACTGGATGGGGTGCCAAGAAGATTTCAGTAGCACCCCCAGATCCCACCTCATCTCCAGGTCTCCACGTTGCACCCTCGGGGTGTTTCATACGCTTGCTGAGAACCCCATGCCCTCCCCCAGCCCCAGACCCGCGCTCACCCCCTGCACCCAAGGGTGCTGCAGGACTTGGGCAGCACTCAGCCGCTGCTTGGCGTCACGGACAAGCAGCTTGGAGATGAGGTCTTTGGCGGCGAGGGAGATATGGGCCCAGTCCTTGTCGGGGAACTCGTACTTGCCCTCCTGAATGCTCTCGAACAGCATATTCTGGGGGACACAGGGGGGCGGGGGGGTGAACTATAGGTGGCAAGCTTGGCCAAGCCCCTGCCACCCAGATGGCAAACTGGACTGGGGGGGTCCCCAGGATGGGCAGAGGGCTGCAGGGCCCAGGGTCCTGAGACCCACAGGCAGGGCTGGGGGCTCTGGGGGGTGTCACAGGAAGGGAAGGGGACATAGGTCCAGAGGTGGCCGGGAGGCTGGGCCGGCAGAGTGATTAAGTGGCACTTGATTTACAAAGGCATCTCCAGGGGGCACCGGGCAGGGGGTGCTGAGCCACGAGCCCCAGGCAGGAGGCCCAGACCCCATCACCCCATTCACAGACCTAGCACGCCTCTTTGCTCCCGGACCCCTATCCCTGTCTGACTCCCTTGGGCCGGGAAACCCAAAAGCCTTCAAAACCCTGGAGAATGGGTGGCCACTGCCCTGTGGACGTTGTCAGTGCTTGGTGTTGGGGGGTAGGCAGGTCCCCAAGCGAGGAGGAGGAGGAGTGCACTAGGTAGGTCCCCAGGAGAGGAGAGGTGCATGGGGCAGGTCCCCAGAAGCAGGAAGAGAAGGGGTGCACAGAGCAGGTCCCCAGGGGCGCATGGGGTCGAGGCGGCAAGCCCTGGGCATGGGCAGAGGGGAGGATAGGGCAGGTCCCCAAGAAGAGCAAAAGGAGGAGGAGCGCCCAGGGCGGGTCCTGGGCGTTGGGGCGCACAGGGTGGAGGGTCTCCGGAGACGCACCTGGCAGGCAGGGCAGGCCTCCCCGCGGTCCCAGCCGCAGTCGCTGCCGCAGTGGCCCACGAACGGCGGGTAGCCGCTGAGCAAGATGTACAAGATGACGCCCAGGCTCCACAGGTCGCAGCGCTTGTCGTAGATGCTGGCCTCCTCGCTGAAGGCCTCCACCACCTCGGGGGCCATGTACTCAGCCGAGCCGCACTGCGGGGGGCAGTGTGTCACGTGGGCGCCGGGGCCGGGCAACTGCGGCTACCGGAGCCCACCAGCCCGGCCCCACTCCACCGAGCTCGGCCCGGCCAATCAGAGGCTGCTGGGAGCCCGCCCCACCCAATCAGCAGTTGCTGGGAGCCCGCCCTGCTCTGCCTGGCCAATCTGCGGCAAGTGTTGGACACCGCCCCACCCAGCACAGCCAATCAGCGGCTGTTGCTAGGCGGAAGCAGAGCTCCTCGGCCTGAGCCGCCAGCCAGCCCAAGCGGGCGAGGTTAGGCAACTGCAGACGCGGCCCACCGTCCGTGCCCTGCGCCCTCTGCCCTGCCCCACACCCCTCAGGGCGCCCCAGCTGGGCCGCTGCGCGGGCTCACCGGCGTGAGCAGCTCCGGGGTGGAGATGGGGGAGCAGTCTCCGTTGAGCTTGATGCCACTGCCCAGGTCGAAGTCGCAGATCTTCACTGGGGACACCTGGGCGGGGTGGAGGCATGAGTCCTGGGAGGCCTCACCTGACCAGGGTGCCCCACCTGGCCTGTGCCTCACCTGGCCGGGATGCCCCACCTGGCTGGGGTTCTGTACCTGGCCCAGGTGCCCCACCCGGCCGGGGTGCCTCACCTGGTTGGGGTGCTCGCAGAGGATGTTTTCGGGCTTCAGATCCCTGTGGGCAATGCCTGGAGGGAAGCAACACAAGGGCATTGGGGCCGGGGCATCTCCCAGCAGTCCTGGACAGGTGGCCGGGCCTGCACTGGGGACTCACTCACCTTTGTTGTGCAGGAAGTCCAGGGCACTGGCCACGTCCTGCACCACCACGCTGGCCTCCAGCTCGTTAAAGTGCCGCCGCTTGTGGATGTGACTCAGGATAGAACCTGCGGTGGGGCCGCAGCAGAGGGAGAATAGGTGGGGTCACTTCCCGAGGCCCTGGGCCTGTGCACCGCACCCACACCAGCTCCCTTGGGCCCGGAGCCCTGGACCCTGAGCCACATGTACACAGGATGCTCAGACCCCCTCCCGTGTGTAGGACCCTCTGAAAGGTCATTCCTGCTGGCTCTAAGCTCTCATCCAATAAGGGGGGCTGAAAATATCTCCCAGCTCCTTCCCTTCCCACAACCAGGAGCTGCCACGTACCACCCCGCATCTTCTCAAACACCAGGTAGAAGCGGTCCTCCTCCTCGAAGAACTCAATCAGCTCTAGGACATTCCTGGGGGAGGGGGCAGGAGAGGAGCTGAGGCTCCCCGAGGCCCCTGGGCACCCACTACCCAGCCTAGGAGGGGCTCTTGCTCTCTGTGCCCACCTGCCCACCTGGGGCTTCAGCCATACTGCCATGGGTCCACCCATAGTACCCAGCCTGGTAAACAGTGGGTGCTCAATAAATCTTGCTAGGGGTGATGTGGCACTTAGGCCCATTCATCTACTGAAAGATGGCCGGGGCCTGGTGCTGTGGTGAGAGCAGGTCACCTTACCTGTGTCCCTGGCACTGATACAACATCTCCACCTCCCGAAAAACCCTGCTCCGAATGTGGCCCGGTTGCTTCTCGATGATCTGCAACAGGGAACGGACGCGCGCCTGGGTCAGCCGGACCCGCCATAGCTGGAAAGGGGCAGGTGAGGCCCCGCCAGACACTTCTGTGCCCCGCCTGAAATTCCATCAGAGCTCTGGAAAGCAAGGCTCTCCTGAATTTGCTGGAAGTCAAAACTTAGGAGTCAGCAGGAGGCATCGCAAAGTGGACCAGGAAAGAAAAGCTGACAGAAGACAAGCCGGTTGGGGCAGCCCTGCACCCCTACCCTGACGGGCCTACTGGGGACTGGGGGCCCCTGCAAAATACCCCCAACACACGGTGTCAGGGTCCCTTGGACTGGTGGCCACCCCTCTCTGGCCAGGAGACCAAACGGCTGTACTTCTTGGCTCCCACAGGACCCGTGGAACAAGGGAGGCTTCAAGGTACCTGGCTGCCAGCCTGGCTAGTCCCACGCGCCACGTGGCCACAGCAGCAAATCCCGCGTCGCTGGCTCCACCCCAGCCTGGGCAAGTGCCTCCCCTGGGCCCATCAGCCTGTATCTCTTTCAGGCCAGCCCTGAGTGTCCACCCCAGACAGGGGGCCCAGAGCCCAGGAAGCCAACCTGAGCCCCACCCCACTGCCCTGTGGCACCTAGTAGCTTTTAAGGGACCAGAGGGTTCTGCCCTCATCAGATGTCCCCCAGCCACTTTCGCTGGCAGAGATAGGGTCAGAAGGTGGGGCCAGCTCTCCCCGGCACCTGCCGGGCACCTCTTCCCAGGCTGGACACCCTGGCCCCCCTCTCACTGGGCAGGTGGGTGGAGAGTGACCATGTGTGCCCAGGGCAGGTCTGGTGGGGGACAGGGGATGTGTTTTTCAACCCTTGAGCCCCCCACCCCGCTACTGTCTACACACTGTTGCTCATGTTTAGTGACAGACGAACCTGCCCTAGTGAGGGGCAACAGAACCACCTGATTCCAGGGTCTCTAGAGACACCACCCCCTGCCCTAGGCTGAAACCCGACCTCACCCTCTCCCTTGGGAAGCCGGCTAGGATGGCCAAGTCTCTCCTGGCAGGGGAGCGGCCTTCTCTGGTCCCAGCTCGGGGTCCGCTCCCCACAGTAGCCTCCTCCAGCCACAGGCCCTCAAGCCCCCCACCCGCAGGCCCAGGCCACACTCCTGAAACCCACAGGCACAGCGATCTGGCTGCTCTGCCCGGGGCCCACCTGCTTTTTGTCTCCTTCACCCAGGACACTACCTCCTGCCACTGCCCCCAGCTGGGCCAGCTCCTCTGGGACTTCAGTGGTCCTCCACACACCCCCACCAGGAAGGCACCCCGGATTTCAGCACTGACCACACCAAGTCATGGTGTCAAGGTGACCAAGGAGGCAGCCCCAAGATGGCAGTCAGGAGCCCCAGTGAGGCCACGTGGTATAACTCAGGCTACCTCACCCCTCTGAGCCTCAGTTTCCCTATCTGTCAAGCAAGAATAGGAAGCCAGGCTGCCCGGCAGGGCCATTGGGAGGACTGTGCTCAGAAAGACGCCCGCTATGCTAAAGTGCTCTGTGAGTGTCCAGTCTCCGGCAGCTTCGCCCTGCCCCACCTGTGAGCCCCCAGGGAGCCAGGACCACAGCTGCATCTGTCGCCACCTGTGGCAGCCGTGGCCCCAGCGCCTGGCCAACAGCCTCCCTTGATTTGGAAAAGCGAGGCTCCCTCCTCCCTCTGCCACGGGCTGGGCACTCCCGTTTCTCTCTCCTCTAACACAGCCGCCGGTGTGGACTGGCCTCCCACCAGGGTCCGCAGGCGCCAGCCAGCCCTGCCTGCCAGGAGCACCTGGCCTCCTCCCTGGGCAGCCGGCCCTCCTGTGACCCCAGCCAGCCCAGGAGCCGGATATGGGGTCACGAGGGAAGCCTGGAAGGTTTCTTGGAACACAAGACCGGACTGCGTGCCCTGCAAGGTCACAAGGCCATTGCCAGGGCCTCAGCAGCCTCTTGATCCCAGATTGCTGGCTGCATGGGGCTGGGGGCCGCACAGGAAGCTCCCAGGGGCCCGCGCTGGGTTTCCCCAAATGCAGAGCCCCCTCTGACACCCTCTGGAAGGGCTCAGAGGCAGGGGACCTGCCTGAGGGACCCAGCAGGCAAGCATTGCCTCGGACCAAAGCCCCGAGCTCTGGGCAGCCACTCTGGCACCAGGTCCTTGGCCACCTGGACACAGGGTGGGCAGGGGGCTGCCCTCACTGCCACTCCTGCCTGGACTCAGGGGCTTAGCAGGGACTGACCTGATTTCCCAAAAGTGGCCTGACTCACCAGGCCTGGGGACCATTTATAGATACCGGTTTTCCCCGGCTGTCAATCTGGGAGCTTGAATGCCACCCCCCTCCTCCTGCCACTCCCAGCTGGTGCCAGATCCTGGGGGCTGCCAGGAAGGGCCAGGGAGCAGTTCCACCCGCTGGAGCTCACCTTCACGGCGTACTCCTGATTGGTGATGAGGTTGACACAGGTCTGCACGCGAGCGTGGGCGCCTTCCCCGAGCACGTCCTCCTGCAGCTGGTAGACGTCTGTGGAGTGGTGGGGTTGGGGTGAGGGGACCCGCCGCTGGCGCCACCTCCCCACTGGCAGCCTCCCCACCGCCCTGGGCCCGGTGCCCTCTCACCTTCGAACCTGCCCGAGAAGCTGTCGGTGGCTCGGCTGCGCTTCTTCTTCTTGCTCCTCTTCTTGGCGTCCGGGATGTCAATGGGCTGGCTGGTGGGCATGTCTGCGTGGAGGGACAGCCGCCAGGGCTCAGGAGGGGGCCCTGCCCGGGCTGCACCCCCTGCCACAGGGGAGTCAGCGGGTGCCACGTGCCCCCGCCCCTTGGGCCTCTCACCAGGGTGGGCCGCGCGCTGCAGGCTGAAGTCAGGGTCCTCAGGGTCCCCGTGGTGGGCCTGGTCTAGGGAGAAGGCCAGCTCGAAAGGGTTCTGCCCCTGCAGGACAGGACAGGACAGGGGAGCGCTCAGGCCCCGTCCTGCCCCACTGGGCCCCAGCACGGAGAACGGTCCCGCCTGAATGTCCGCAGGCCAAGGCTGAGAACCCCGCAGTTAGTTATCCAGTGACAAATTCAGTCTGACCCTGCTCACACTGGACACCAGAATAAACTCCTGACAGAGCATACAGACAGACCAGGTGATCCCCAGCCCCTGGGACTCCCCTCCTGTCCCCGTCTCCACGCAGGTGTGGGTGTGAACCTGTGCAGCCTCCTAGGACCTCAGCAAGGCAGGGGATCGTGGGACACAGAGTCTCTTGGGTGTCAGTGGAATCCCCTAATCCAGTGGTTTTCACCTAGGGGGCATTCCAACCCCCCAGGGGACGTGGGGCAATGCTGGGGACATTTATGGGTGTCATAATTGGGGCTGCTCCTGGCACAGAGTGGGGGGAGGCAGGGACGCTGCTCAGCACCTGCAGTGCCCAGGACGGCCTTCCCCAGAGAACGACCGGCCCCAAATACCGACAGTGTCGAAGTGGAGAAACCTTGTTCTCCCTCGGAGGGAACCTGACCCTCCGCCCCCAGCCCAGGCCCCTGGGTGCCCCTGGGAGAGGGTGCAGCGTGGGGCAGGGACAGATACAGGCAGACAGCTGCCTGGGGGCCCTGCCTCTGATGCCGGGGTTGAGTCACTGCAGGGCCCAAGCCACATCTCGTGCCTCAGTTTGCTCGAGTGCAGAATGGGGGCCGCCTGGCTGACCTCTGGGGATCAAAGGCAGTGGGGCAGCACAGCGAGGTGACTCACCGGGTGGGGCTCCCAGCCTGGCAGCCAGGCCTGCTTTCCCACAGCCTGCTGGGCTATCTCAGGCCAGCTTGGTCCTGCCTGGGCCTCAGTTTCCCCCCTCCTTCCTTACCTTGCCTAGGGAGGCGGTGGGCAGTGAATCCAGTCCCTGTCGCCCTGCCGCCTGCCCTGTACAGTCTCAGGCCCACCTGCACACCTATGCTGTGCCCCGAGGCTGCCCGGAACACCTCCCTGCCCCCAGCTCTTCGTATCCAAACCCTCTGTATCCTCTGAGGACCACAGCCCCCCTGCTGAAGTGACCAATTCAGCGCTTGTGGCACCGCACCCGCTGGTGCCCAGGGTCCAGCTGGGTCTCTGCCTGGCCCCAGGAGGCTCATGGGAAAGGTGTCCACAAGCATGTCAGGCCCTGCCCAGGCCACAGCCTGCATGGTCCCGTTTCAGCGCCAGACACCCCTGGAGGGAGTCCCTCCCAGGCCCTGGTACCCAGCTAAGCCCACCCCTCTCAGGGAGGGGCTGTGGCAGGTGGGATCTGCACGTAGGCCTGTCGTGCTTGACAGCCTGGAGCGTGGGCGAGAGACAACAGGGAGGGTGTGACACCCTCACCTGGGGTGGGAGGACACTGGAGGTCTGACGGACCTTTTCCTAGGCCAGACACCCGACGGCTGGAAAGACTTTTTCTGCGGAGTGGGTGTGATCCAGTCGGGGATGGAGGGTCCCTCGCGGGAGGGGGCGGGGCCTGGCTCCTGTGCGGCTGAGCTCTACGCTCTAAGTCAGCATCCCCAGCCAGGAGGGCTTCGCAGACAAGGGGTCTGCAGATGTGGTGGCAGGTCCTAGTCCCAGCGAGGATGCTGGGTGGCCTGGGCTGAGTAGCTCCCCGTCTCTGAGGCCCTAGACAAGTGGGGGAGGGCTCTGACAGGAGGGTCATCTGGCAAAGCCCAGCGCAGAGAGGCCGGGCCCGACACCTCGCCTGGCACAGAGGGGCAGGTGGCAGCCAGACAGTGGGAGGGTCTGAGAACCAGGCTGCCATCCCTGCCTCCTGCCCACCCTGCCCTGGGCAGATAGTTGCTAGGAGACCGGGAGGGGAGGGGAGCAGGGGGCACTTCAGCCACCCCACAGGGTGCCAGGCACACCCGGCTCAGATAAGGTCCCCCATCCAGAGGGCCCGGTGGCCACCCTGGGGCCACCACAAAATGGGGGTGACTAGACTCAAAAGCCAGGCACGGCTCTCGCTCGCTCTCTGACCCTGACCTAGTGACCACCTTGGGCCTGTCGGGGGGACAGGAGGCAGGTGCCTGCAACCCGTGGGCCCTCGAGAGGGTGAAAGGACTCGGGGCTGCAGGGCCCCGTTTGAGCCTGGCTATATCTGGTCACCGTTCCCACAAGCCCGTCACGGCCTCCAACTCAGAAAAGCAGAGACAGATGGGCAGGCCAGAGCGACCGTGGGGAAGGGACAGATCTGCTGTCTCCACTGGGCGCTGGGTACTATCACTCCCGTGTCCTCGAGCAGGAGGACCCAAGGCAGACACCCGCTGTCTGGGAACCTCCACATTCCCAGCGTGCCTGCACACGTCCTCCCCGATGCGTTGTGGCTGACAGGGGCAGGGCTCCCCCAAGGGAGCTGGTGGGGTCGTGGGAGGGGATTCCTAGCGTGACCAGACCCTGGCCACTTGGAGGAGCCCCTCCTGGCCACCCCCACCCGGGTCCCAACTCTGAGTGGGGCTGTCCAGCGGCCATGCACAGAGGCCACCCCAGTCCCGAGCGGCGTGGGCGGTCCTGGGCCAGCCCGCCCTGGGTCTGGCTGCAGGACGCAAGTCAGCAGTCCTTGGCAAGAGGCAGCTGGAACCATCCAGAAAGTTCGAGTTTGCTTTGGCTGCCTCACTGGCTCCATGCACTGACCTGGTCTCGGCTCACGCCCAGCCCCAGGAGGGGAAAGCCCACGGTCAGAGATGTCTCAGGTCCAGCCCTGTCCCGCCCAGCCCCGGACACTCTGAGGGCGGCCGCTGCCCTGGGGGAAAACGCAGGTGACAGGCATGCGGCAGGGGTTGGGGAGCTGGCCCGGGACACTGGCTGGACAGGCCTGGGAATTGTTCTGAGCAGGCTCCGCTTGTTCCTCCCACCCTGGTGCGCGGTGTGTGTACACACCACATACAGCACACACACAGTCCTGCCTTCCACCGGGCAACAGGTCCCTGCCCAAGGAAGCTGGGGAGGCCATTACATAACCGGGGCCTGCGGGGTGGGGCGGCCGGCTGACATCACTGCGTCCCCTGGGCCAGGCCCTGTGGGGCCCCTGCCCAGCACCTGCCCTCCCCACCCCCCCAGATTCGCTCAGCCGAGACCAGGGCTCAGCAGCCGCCACTGCCAGGCTGCTGCAAACTTCCCGCTCCGACAGGAAGCTGCACTTGGGCTTGGGTGTCTGGGAGGTGCAGTGCGGAGGGGACGTGCAACCCACTCTCCCCTTTCACAGGGCACCTGGGTGTCGGGGCACCCGACCTGGCCCAGGAGCCTGAAGCAAGGTCCCCACAAGCCATACCGGGGTGGGGATGGGGCTGTGGCCTGCTGAACCCTCCCCCTCCAGTGCACAACAACTGGGGCTTGCAAGGGACACACAGGCCCGCCTGGGGTACTGGACGAGGGACCCCCACAGGCCACACGCAGGGTTTGGGACAGGACTGCGGCCTGCAGACCCCTGCTCCAGCAGAACACAGCCGATGGGGGCTTGCAGGGGACACACAGCCAGGGACCCCCATGAGCAGGGACGGCCCAGCCCCCCTGGAATTCCCACGGGCCACAGCTGGGGAGGGGCCTGCGGCCTGCAGACGTCCCGTCGGCGCACCCCCAGCTGGGACAGTCCAGGCGCAGGGCGCGGGGGGGCCTGCACGAGCCCGGGCCGCCCCCCACCCCGCAGCAGGCTCTGCGCCCCCCCACCGGCCGCTCGGGGGGCCAGCCCGGGGCGCTCCGAACCGACCTGGCCCTCACCTTGAACGAACGGTGGAAGCCCTGAAGTTCGGCTGTTTTCTTCTGCACCATCTTCCGTCCGGGCCCCGCCAGCGGGGGAGGGGACGGCGGGCCGGGGGGCGGCCCGGGGGCGGGCGGCCGGGCGGGGGGCGGCCGGGAACGGGCTCCTGCGGGCGGGAGCAGACAAAGGGAGCGCGGTGAGCGGCGGCGGCGGCCGGAGCGCGACCCGGGCGGAGGCAGCGAGGGCGCTGCGGCGCCGGTTCCCCGCGCCCGGGCCGGGGTCCCCGGGGCCGCCAAGGGCTCGCACTCACCGGGGTCGGGCTCGGGTCGGGGCCGCAGTGCCGCCGCCGCCCGACGTCGCGCAGCCCGGACCCCGCTCCGCGGACCGCGCGGGGAACAGCGCCGCCACCGCCGCCGCCACCGCGGACTCCTCCGCCTAGGCCACCGCCGCCGAGAGGAGCCGGGCGCGTCGCCGCCGCCTTGGCCTTTATAGGCCCGGCCCGACAAGGCCCCGCCCCCAACGCAGGCCCTGCCTCGGACACGCCCCGCGCCGCCGGGGGCGGGGCGTCGTGGAGCGAAGAAGGCGCTCCGGCGTCCAGTGCGGCTGCGCGCTCCGAGTTGGGGGGGTGTGTTCGCACGGCCGCGCTCGCGCCTGCGCTGTGCGGCGCTCGGACTCCTGGCGCGGCAGTCGCTCAGTGTCCGGCCTCTCTCCGGCTGCCTGGGCCTCGGGGGTTCCTGGGGCCCAGTGGGGCCTGGTACCAAGCCGAGGCCTGCCGTATGCCCCTCGCAGGGCACCTCCCTCAGCCTGCCAGTCGAGGCCCAGCATACACTGACTCCTTTGCGCGATGCCCCTGCTCTAGAACCTCCCATGGCTCCCGCTTGCAGCTCCCTGATGCTGGCCCCGGCCGCCCCCTCACACACCACCAACGCGATTTGAGGCCCAGCCGTTCCCTCCTCCTCGTGCTGGGGGATGGGCCGCCACCACCTGCTTCCTGACCCAGCGGGGCCACCTGGCTCGGGGAGCAGGGAACTCCTCCAAGAGTTCATCCCGCGCTTGGCAGGACCCAGAGTGGCGGGTGGGGACTGAGATCTGTGAAGGACCCTTCCTCTATCCCGGGACAGTGTTTCGGGGAGAACTCTGGGGCCCCAGACTGCTCAAGAGCCCAGGGGGTGGATGGAGGCCAGGGCCGGAGGTGAAACTCAATCCCATGCTGGCTGGGCCCTCAAATTAGATGTGGACAGGATCGGAGAGTCCGCCCCTCCTGAGCCAGGTCAGCTCCCCATCCCGCCGCACCCGTTCAGCGTCCTCACCAGGCCCCACATCTTGGGCTTCTCCTGCTGGATGGAATGTCGTTTCTCTTCTCCTGGCCCCAGCTTGGCCTTCCAGAAGCTTCCAACAGCCCATCCCCAGTGTCCCCCAAGCAGGCCCTGAGCTTGGAGAAGCTGGAGCCCCACTGACCTGAAGCCAGATGGGGCCCTTTCCCGGTGGGGCAGCCTCTGTCTACCCACTGCCTCAGGTCTCAGGCCACAGGGGGGCCTCAACCACTCCCAGGGTGCTGAGGGGAGCCTGCGGGGAACTCCCCAGCCAGACCCCAACCCTTGGTGTTGCCCTGTGTCTTGTCCATAGACAGACAGACAACCTTGAGCCCCCAGCCTCCCCCTTCTTGCATGTGTATGTGCATGTGTGGTGTGTGTGTGTGTGTGTGTGTGTGTGTGTCTGTGTGTGTGTAGACACGTGTTGGCTCCAGCTGCCTGGGGTGGGGCCACTAGACTTGCCTGCCCAGGTGAGAGACCTCAGGCTCCCTCCCTCTTCCCCCCACTGGCCTCACCTGGCTGCCCCCCATCCCTGCCTGTGTGCAAGTGGTCACTTGCGGGTCTGTTGTGCCGGGTGCAGGCTTTGCTCTAATGTGCCTACGCACCTCTGTGGGGAGGACAGGAGCAGAGAGGGCTCTGCCCCTGCCCAGAACGTCAGCTCCGGGAGAGCTCGGACCTGTCTGCCGTGTGCACAGTGGTGCTGACCACCAGTGTTTGAAAGAAAGATGTGTTTGAGCACGTGTGTGTCTGTGTGTGCACGGCTGGGGCCACTGTAACAAAGAACCACAAACCGGGGAGCTGAAAACAATGGAGATTTATGTTCTCAGTCCTGGGGGGCAGAGGTCTGAAACCGAGGTGTGGGCAGGGCCATGCTCCTTTGGGAGGCTGCCAGGGCGGATCCTTCCTGTCTCTCCCTGCTCTGGGGACTCCAGGCACACCCTGGGAGGAAGACCCCACCTGCCTGCTGGAGGCAGGAAGCCTGGTCCTTCCTTCATCCTTCTGCAGTGTGGTCCAGGGTTGCGAAGGTGACAGACAGGCACAGGGTGGGGGGGCTGACCAGGAAGGGCCCAGGGCCAGGACAGCCCCCCGAGTGCTCCCAGGGGAGGCGGCCAGCCTGGGAGCGGGGCTCAGGAGTGCCCTGGGGGAGGTGGAGGCTGGCCTGAGGCCACAGGGAGAGGCACAGGCCCTGGGAGGCCTGGCCCCCAAAAGAGACAAACAGGAAGTGAGGCGGCAGCAGGCGGAGCTAGCGCCCACATCAGACAGGGCTGTTCCCTCCCCTGCAATGCGCCCGCCCGCCCCTACTCCTGCACACAGCTCCCCCACTGCAAACCCATACCTGAGATGCACAGGCTCCCAGAGACAAGGACAGTGGCCCTGGCCCTTGATGATCTGACATCTCCCCCCACGCTCCATGGGTCCCCTGTTCCTGGTGCCCTGTATAGGGGTGCCCTGTATAGGGGTGTGGCCAGGTATGGGGGCTCCCCTGGGCTCTTCCATCGGCCTACCTGGGTGCACCTGACCAAAGCTGTGGGGGGGCTTCCCTGTGTCTCCCCTGGAGCCCTGCCCCCACCCCACTGGGGCACCAGCAGGCATCCTCACCTGGGCAGGTGGGAGTCAACCCAGCAGCTCCTTGCCCCTCGCAGGACCTGTTTTGGGGTGTGCTGGGGCCCTATCGGGCCCAGAGAGACAGGGAGGATGGGAGGGGCCATGCAAGGGGTGAACAGGTGGGTGGGCTCTGGGACTCTCCCAGCCCCAGGACTCACACTTTGGCTGGGACATCTCTGCCACGGTCTCTGTCTCTGCCTCTGCCGATGTGCACCTGCTATCCCTCACCAGAGACCCCAGTGCCTACCCTGTGCCCCTTCTCCCCTGGGAGACCCCCAGCAAGCGGGCCCAGCCTCTGCTCTGGGCTGGCCTGCCACAGGTCCCACCTCCAGGGGGTTCCCGGGGCCCTGGCAGAGTGGCCTGGGGCCCACACAATGCACAGCGATGAGCCTGTGTTTTCCCTGCGGCCCCCCCCATACCACCCACCACCCTCCCAGCCACCTGCCCAGGGTCCCACAGCCGGGAGGGGAATCCCTGCCCACTGGGCGGCTCGGCCTCCCCTCCGGGAGGGTGGCAAGCCCCTGTTTGCCTCAAGGGACGACAGGCAGGTGGTGACAGGCCCAACAGATGCCGCCCCCCACCCTGAGACTCCACAGGGATGGAAGCCCAGAAAGCTCGGCCTGTCAGGACCCTGCAGCTCCCCAGAGGCCCCTCCTGCACCCAGCCTTGGAGGGGGCTTGGCAAGCCTGAGCCGAAAACTGCAGACCATCTGCTTTCTTGGGGAAGGGGTCCTGTTGGCCTCTGACCAACCCCTGAGAAGCCCCTTGCTTCTACAGGGTGATTTCAGCCTGTATGGTACATAGGGTCTCCCCGAAACCCTAGAAGAAGTGTCTGGGCACGTCCTGGGCTTGCCAGCTGGGGCCTTGGCTTCCCTTGTCCTCGCTTGAGCCAGGGGGAGGCAGGCTGGCCAGGTGATAGCCACTGTGACCTTCCCCCTCTGGGCCTGGGGTGTCCGGGGGCTCCGTTATCCAGAGTCCCCCTCCTGAGCCACATAGCGGAGCTCAGGTCCTCTGCAACCTGTAGGCATGGCCACCAGGTCCAGCAAACATTTAATACAAATACAGGGTGCCCAGTTCACTTTGCATTTCAGACAAACAGTGAATAACTTTTCAGATGTCCCAGCCGGCAGTAAGCCACGCTGACAGTACACCAGATGATTATTCCTTGGTTAGCTGGAATTCCAAGGTACCCCAGGGTCCTGTATTTTATCAGACAACCCTACAAGGGAGTGACAGTAAAAGACCTTTATCCCCAACATAAAGAGAAAAAAAAGTGCAGCGTGTGTTGTGCGAGAGTGAGCAGATCGGGCATGTCTGGGTGTGCCTGAGAGAGGCACCCCGCCCAGGTCCACGCGGGGCCAGCGTGTGCACCTGTGGGAGCGGAGTGGGCACGCGGGGCATGGGGCCATGCACACCT